CAGGTGTGTGCTGGGCCCACAGGTGTGTGCTGGGCCCACAGGTGTGTTCCACCAGGCCATTTCCCTCTCCCACTCTTTTCTCTATCTGTGGTAATGAGTCCCTTTCATTCCAACCCAGGTTCCATGTGTTACTGTCAAGTCTTTGGAGCTACTTATTTTTCCTCTGTCTGGGAGAAATTGTGTCCTAGAACTCTCAACGAAAGTACTAGATTTTACTTCCCTGAACCCATTCCTGTGTTGGGAAGCAACCACAATGCTTCTACTCTGGTCCCCTTTTTAAAAAGATGTTTGTTTGGTTGTTTGGTTTTTTGAGACAGGGTTTCTCTGTGTAACAGTCCTGGAACTAGGTCTTGTAGACCAGGCTGGCCTCAAACTCAGAGATTCATCTACCTCTGCCTCCCGAGTGCTGGGATTAAAAGCATTATGCCACCACTGCCTGACTTAAAAAGATGTTTTATTTTATGTGTATAAGTGTTTTTCCTGCATGCATATCTGTTCACCACTTGTGTGCAGGCACGCAGGGAGACCATGAAAAGGCATCAGGTCCCCAGGAACCAGAGTTCCAGACAGTTGGTAGCTGCCGTGTAGGTGCAGGGAATGGAGCCCAGCTCCTCTGGGGAAACAGCCAGCGTGTTGAACTACTGAGGAACCACGGTTCCTCTTTGAGTAGCAACTTTATTGAGATAGATTCATGTGTGACAGAATTCACTCATTTACAAGGAAATTCAGTGAGGTTTTCTTTTTTTGTAGATTTACTGAATTATGAGGCTGCCACAATCAGGTTTGCTTTGTTTTGTTGTTTGTTTGTTTTGAGACCAGGATGTGAACTTCATTAAGTGTAAAGCCTCCTTGGTAAAACAAAACAAAACAACAGAATTTGTGGGGTGTTAAGGATGTAAAGTGGGTAGGGAGAGTGCCAATTGCTTTCACTCTGTCTTTAGACTTTGGTACTGGCCTTCAAAGACAACACCGACATACCCTCAGCAGTATCATTTAGGGGAAGACGGCAGTTCTTTGGTCTTTAGGTCACCTAGAAATTTGTCTAGGAAGTTCCTGTTTTGAACTAAAGCATCAATGAATTGGGCACCATCCATGCCATACAGTTAGGAAGCAGAAAGAAAGAGTAAGCCCTTTTTATTCACAAACCCAAAACACGTGTGGTAGTAGGGACAGTTGCTCACATTTAGCATATGACCTTTCTAAGACCCGTGTTTGTGGCTCCTGATACTTTCAATTTTGTGTTTTTTTTTTAAAAAAAATCTATCTTGTATGTATGAGTGTTTTGTCTACATGTATGTTTGTATAGTACGTGCATGCCTGCTGCCTGCAAAGGCCAGCAGAGGCCAGCAGATCATTGGAACTGGAGTTACAAATGGTGATGAACTATGTGGGCACTGGAAATTAAACCTGGGTCCTCCGGAAGAGCAGTCTCTTAACCACTGAGTCATCCCTCCAGCCCTCAAGTTTGTATTCTTATGCAAAGGGGTTCTGACAATTTCACCCTCATTTACTCCTTTTGGAGACTAGTATTTGAAAAGACAAATAGGAAGCCACTCCCCGTTTTCAGCTGAAAGAAACTGTGAGTCTAATGAAGAATGGCAACCATTATTCATTTTCCTCCGTGAACATCTTTCTTAAATGCGTCACTAAAGCCACCAGCACAGGGTTAGCGCCACAGGCCTCGATTTGTTTGGAGACTTTCGCTTCGAGCTCTCTAAGAGTGTATTGAGTATATTCAAAAGAACCTACGTCTTCCAGGTACTGTACACAGTATTTTTTAATATCTATATTTTCTGTTCTTTGGTGCAGGACGTTCTGCACCTGGGTGCTTTCTGGCCTTGACCAGATGGCGTGGATAGTGGGGAAGGAGAACTTCCCTTCCGTCAGGTCTTCACAGAAACTCTGTTTTCACTGGACTCTTTGGAGTGTAGATTGGCATAATCATCTCTAATCTGGAAGAAAAGCCCAAGTGTGTCGAGCAGTGGCTTTAAATCTTCTTTGTAATCAGAAAACAGCCGCATGAGGCCTACTGCTGGTCCAAACAATCCACCCGTCTTCTGCAACACCATGGCTTTATATTCTTCCTCAGTGGGACAGGTGTAGGTGTCCCTCCAGTAACTCTCTAGGCCTTGTCCCTGATGGAGTTCCAAAAGTTGGCATGTGAAAAGCTTCACGGCATCTGGGTGATCAAGCGTTAAGACTTTCTCCAGGCCAAGGAAGTAGACGTAATTGGCAGAACTGATGACAAAAAGGGATTCCACAGATGCTATATGCTTCTGGAAAACCACGTCGGAGCTTTGAATTATCATCAATATCATCAATGAGGAAGCTGGCATTATGCAACATTTCAGTTACTTCAATGATAATCTGCACTTTGTCTTCTGGAACCTTCAGCCAGTGATTGAATACCTGTGAAAGTTTGGTTCTCACCTGGTAATTGAAGTAAGTACCTATAGGACTCTGGAAGAATTCTTTCAGCTTTCTCTTGACTCTTCTCCATATTTTATGAATTTCAAAGCAGACGGTTCCACGATGATCTCAGACTTCAAGCCGCCGGCCCAAGACTAGCAGTGCCCACATCAATTTCTCTCTTTGTAATTCAGACCCAGGTTCTTCCCGAGGTCTCCTTGGCCTCCCCCTACTTCACGACAGAAATCTCTGCCCTCCTTAGCGGCCAGTGATGCTGCATTACTCCGTGCAAGAAAATACACCATCCCTGTCCCACAGTCAGTTTTCAGAATATTCTTCATCCCAAAGAGACCCACTTCACTAGAGGCTCAGTCCAAGCTCACGGAGACCATTTCTTTCTTTCTTTTTTAATTGATTTTTATTGAGCTCTACTTTTTTCTCTGCTTCTCTCCCTGCCTCTCCCCTTCCCCTCTTCAATCCTCCCCCAAGGTTCCCATACTCCCAATTTACTCTGGAGATCTTGTCTTTTTATACTTCCCATGTAAATTAGATCTATGTAAGTCTCTCTTAGTGTCCACATTGTTGTCTAAGTTCTCTGGGATTGTGGTTTGTAGACTGGTTTTCTTTGATTTATGTTTAAAAACCACCTATGAGTGAGTACATGTGATAATTGTCTGTGTCTGGGTTACCTCACTCAAAATCATGTTTTCTAGCTCCATCCATTTTCCTGCAAAATTCAAGCTGTCTTTATTTTTTTCTGCTGCATAGTACTCCGTTGTGTAAATGTACATTTTTTTCTTATCCATTCTTCGATCCAGGGGCATTTAGGTTGTTTTCAGGATCTGGCTATGACAAACAAAGCTGCTATGAACGTAGTTGAGCGCATGTCCTTGTGGTACGATTGAGCATCCTTTGGGTATATACCCAAAAGTGGTATTGCTGGGTCTTGAGGAAGGTTGTTTCCTAGTTTTCTGAGAAATCGCCACACTGACATACCAGCTTGCATTCCCCGAGACCATTTGTGTAACCACTTTGGAAGTGGCTTTATCCCCTGAGTGCTGAGCAGAAAGGATACTGAAAAGGAAGTTCATGTGTTCAAATCCAGCCTGAGCTATACAACATGACAGAATCTGAGTTCAAAGCCAGCCTGGGCTACATAACAAGACAGTATTTCACTGCAACAGCATAGTAGACTAGATCTCATGGAAAAGGATGCAGGTTTTGGAAAGCTGTCCTTGGCAGTGGGAGCAAGCTATGCAGAGACACGGCCTATAGGAATCAGGAGAAGTCCCAAACTTGAGGTGCAGCAGCAGAGCCCCATGTAGATGAGCGCACAGCAAAGCCCACGTGCTCTCCTGCCATCACTTGTTTGTTTGTTTTCGAGACAGGGTTTTTCTGTAGCTTTGGAGCCTGTCCTGGAACTCGCTCTGTAGACCAGGCTGGCCTCGAACTCACAGAGATCCGCCTGCCTCTGCCTCCCGAGTGCTGGGATTCACCACGTCTGACTTGCTACCATCACTTTTACACTTTTACAAATTCTTTTTATTGCATTTTTACTTGTTTATTTTGTGTGTGTACGTATGTGTGTTTTCATGTGTGTGTGTGTGTGTGTTGTGTGTGAATGTAAGGCAGAGGTCGGTCGGTTCTCTCCCACCACCCTGAGTTCCAAGGACTGAACTCGGCCTCAGGCTCCGAAAGCATCCTCTGAGTCACCTCCGCACCCCTGTCAGTTAGTTCTTGCTTGCTTTTTTCCGTGCTATTAGGTGCATCAAGGTTCAGAGCCATCCCACGGTTCCTGAAAGTGACTGGCCCTGTTTCTGTCACTTTCTTGGGGAGTTTACTGTGTGCCACTGTTCTTGGGGAGACTTGAGTAAACATCTACTTAGGTACAGGCCTGCTCACTCCAGGTAGGGAACCGAAGCACAGAAACCGCTCAGATCCAGCGTGGTGAGCCAGTGAGTTTTACTGAGGTCCCTTACAGGAGCAGAAATGACTCCATGACGGCTGCATCACCACAGCCCACCCAAGCATGGGTGACAGTCTCGCTCACAAAAGCTGGAGTTCAGCACACAGCCTGCAGGCAGGTTGGAGCATCCTTTGCAGGCAGCTCAGCTGGTCTCTGCATCCCCCAGGCAGCTCTGCTGCTCTCAGCCCCTTCTGGGTATCTGAGCTCAACTTGGTCGTCTTTACAACTTACATTCTCTCAGGGAGGGCAGGACTTAGTATATCTGATGAGTCCCTGAGCTTAACCAGCTTCCCTGCAGGATGGAGTGTTTTGGCTCCCCTTAGAAGAACTGGTTGTGAACTGGGTGGTGGTGGCTCCCCCCTTTAATCCCAGCACTCGGGAGGCAGAGGCAGAGGCAGGTGGATCTCTGTGAGTTCGAGGCCAGCCTGGTCTACAAGAGCTAGAGCCAGGACAGGCTCCAAAGCTACAGAAAACTTTTAAACTGGAGAAAAGCACTCTACAACAGCGGGGGGAGGGAGGACTGTCCTGGAAGGCCTTGCCACATTGGACCCTCAAAACGTTCTGCACTGCCGGTCACACAGTGCTCAGAACCTCTTACCAAGGGTCACACAATGAATGGGATGTGGACCTGGCTGGGTCACTCAAGCATTTAGAACCACCCATGCAAAACACTCCCTTCAAGTACAAGTATCCATTCGCCTTTGCTTTTAACACAAACAGACAATTGTTGAACTCTGCTCACAGGCTGTAGGTGTTGGCCCTAATACCTCTGTGTAACCAGAAATTCTGCCCCTGTGTGTTTCCTCCCTGTTCCCAAATAATCTCTGATAGACGACTGTCTAATTAATCAGTCCAGTTCCCTGTGGACAGGCATTTAGGTTATTTCCAATCCCTTGCAATCATTGCTGTTTGTCAACCAGATCTTAGCTCCTTCCCATGAATCCACCAGGAGAAGAAATTCCTACTGGACCAAAAAAAAAAAAAAAACAGAGCAAAACAAAAACAACTTTGAAATCTGTATTCCAAATTCCCCTCCCAGGAGACTATCCCGTGAGACTAGCAGAGGCCATTTTCAATTCTGTGCTCGAGAATGGGTGGATGTGGGAAGATCTCTCTGGACCCTAAGCTCACTGCCCACTTTGATGGCACAGATCAAACCACATGAACTTTTTCTGTTCCTGGAATGGCCAGACTGTTTCCTACCCAGACCCCCTGATCCTCACGTACCTGGTTCTCTCATGGCTTACTCCTTTTCTTTCCCTTTTCCCAGCAGCCTTCTCAGTTAAGGTTGTCCCAAGCCATCTCAACCCATCACTGGGGTTTATTTTATTTTGTTTTTGCAATACTGGTGCAAGAACCTGGGGCCTCTTGCATATTAACTCAGCAACTGCCCTGTCACTGAACTACATCCCCAGGCCTGGTTTATTTATTGCACTTAAAGCTACCTAACATCTTCTTCCATGTTTCTTGGTGGATCTTCTGTCTCCTCTGCCCGGTCTGTTTTGTCCACTGCAGTACTCAGAGCATAGGTCATGTTCTAGTTAAGAGTTTCTATCGCTGTGATAAAACACCATTACCAAAAGCTACTTGGGAAGGGAAGTTTTTTTGTTTTTGTTTTGTGTGTGTGTGTGTGTGTGTGTGTGTGTGTGTGTGTGTGTATTTGTGTGTGTGTTTCTTTGGAGACTGTCCAGGAACTCACTACGTAGACCAGGATGGCCTTGAACTCACAGATTCACCTGTTGGTTTTTTTTTTTTTTTTCCGAGACAGGGTTTTTCCTGTAGTTTTGAAGCATATCGCTCTGTAGACCAGGCTGGTCTTGAACTCACGGAGATCCGCCTGCCTCTGCCTTCCAAGTGCTGGGATTAAAGGTGTGTGCTACCAGCACCCGGCTCAGCCTGCTTTTTCAGAGCACCCAGGATCATGTGGCACTGCCCATAGTGGCCTGACCACCCACATTGGGAGACCAGTCTGATGGAGGCTGACCACCCACATCGGGAGACCAGTCTGATGGAGGCAATTCCTCAATTGAAGTTCAAATTGATTAAACTACCCAGCACTGCCCATAAACGACTTTATTATTTCCCATAGAATGTGCTCCCTTCTAATAGGTACAATCTGCTTCCTACGTGTACTGTCTGGTTCCATCACTAGACTGTGTCTCCAGAAGGGCAGAGATCTTTGGGTTCTCTTGGTTGCTTAAGAGACAGGGTCTGTGTTGCCCAGGTTGACCCTGAGCTCCTCAGCGGAAATGACTCTGCTTCCTCAGCATCCCCGGTATCAGGGACTATATAGATGCATAAAGCTATGCCCAGATCTCAAATACTTAGAATAGCAAATGGTGTGCAGTGGGAGCTCGACAAAGACTTATGGATATCTAAGCGAAAGAATGAGAATCATAACCCCACCGTATCGTTGGGGATTGGCAGGCTGTGCCTTCAAGGAAAAAAAGCCATTAAAGAGTATTTCTGTTCCTTGAGGATGCGCTGAGCATCGAGCCCTCAGGACCTAAAGTCAGGTGGTTTGCAGTAGGTGCTGAAGTTGTGAGTTCAGGTCCAGCCCGGGAGGTTTGGCCCAGGAGACACCTACAGTCCCTTGCCTCAGAAACCCCGCCCTATTACAGAGGATCCGCCCACTCTAGCCTCTCTTGGTGATCCACCCATCCTGGATGTTCCGCCCATTTCCCTGAAGCTCCGCCCCTAGTAGTGGTCTCTTCCCGCCCATTTCTTCGGAGGTCCCGCCCTATTCTGGAGACTCTGCCCCGACCTTCTTAGGTGTTCCCCCTCCCTCCACTTTCCCGAGGCCCCGCCCAACTCAGGATGCCCCTCCCACTTTCCCTTGAGGCTCCACCCAACCCGGAGGCCTTGAGGGCGCCTATCTCAGAGGCCCCGCCTCACCCAGGATGTCCCGCCCAGTTGCCTGAGGCCCCGCCCCCGGTGCCGCCTGCCCGGCGGGGCTGGGCTCCGACCTTGTAGCGGCGCAGCGCTTTCGGCGAGCGGTGAGGACGGGTGCGCGGTGAGGACACGGTGAGAGGCGGGCTCCTGCGTCCCGGCCGGCCACGGCGTGTCC